AGCCTCCCAAAGGCGTGGGATTACAGGTTGAGCCACTGAGCCCGGCTTGGCACATGTTTTAAATGATCCAGCAGCCAAGCTGGGCTCCTTGGTGCTCTCTGGATCTGACCACCATCTCCTCCCTGAGTGCATGGCTTCAGCCTGCCACTCCCTTTCAGGTGCAGTGAAACCCACCTGAGACCGTGGGTCCCTAAGACCCTGTCCCCGTCTCCCCACCCTGCCTTGAGCCACCTCTCTTGTGGCACAGATCACATCCTTCAACATGTGTTAGAATAATCTGTGTGTTACATCTTTGAAGGAATACTGAAGCAGTGGTGCTGTGCCTCTGGGGGGGACCTAAGTGGCCAGGACAGAGGAGGGGCCTGCGCCTCACGGCATGCCTCTCATTCTGAGTGTTGCAGCATGTGTATGTTTCTCTTACAAGGTTTATTTTTCTGTAAAAGTATTTAAATAACAAAAACCGAAGTGATAAAACATTACAGAAAGATATTGGAGAGAGTGTTTGTAACCTCCAAGTAGAGAAAGTGTCCTCAGGCCTGAAGCCCAGAAGCCATGAAGAAAATGATCTTTGTGTCTCTGTATGACCACATACCCTGCTGAACTGTCTTCTCATCCTTGTCAGGGCATAGCCCTGGCCCCTCACAGGGACAATATGCATACGTTGACTTGGAGTCAAAGAGGATGGCAAGGCGCTTCCCGGAAGGCCTCACTGTGTTCACTGATGAAGTGAGTGCAGGTGACCCCCAGGATTGAGGTTCTGCGGAGACCCAGATTGTGGACGGAAGTACCCAGAGGCAGATGAGGCTTAGGAGTCCCAGCACCCTGGCCTCATGGGTCCTCCTGCTTCCAGGAGCTGCCCTGGGGTGCTTGGCCTTCATTATGCCAAGGAAAGAGCCTCTTAGACATGGTCCAGGGAGACCAAGCAGTGAGCAGGGGCTCGGGCGGTCCCTGAGCAGGAGGAAAAGCAGACAGGTGGCTTGCCACGGCATCTTAAGTATCTTTGGACGACTAGCGGCTCCCTGAACTACTTGGCAGGCATGAAGAGACCAGGAGCATCTGCGTCAGCTCCCTCCTGCTGAAGACCCTCGTGGGGGCAGTGGGCAGCAGGGGTAGCCTTGGGGACTGAAGGCCCATTAGGCTCATCCCCTAGTTTCCGAGAGCCATGCTTTCTGGGCAGCTGTACCCCACCCCACTTTGTTCAGTTTGTGAGTAGCTTAGAGTCCTTCCTCCCCCTCAGGTGTGGGCAGCGGAGGGCCGGGAGCTGTCGCCTCTTGGCATGGTATACCCCCAGTCAGCTATAGAGGAGCCATGTGGGGGCAAAGGGTGATGGAGCTGGTGAGGTCCTGGCTGCTGGGTATGCGGGAGGGCCCCTTATCTCAGGCAGTCAGGCACCCGGTGTCTCCTGATCACCCAGGCCTGTTGGAGGAAGTGAGAGAGCAAATGGCTGTGCTTGTTCTCATGCAGATGTCCTTGTGGTACTCAGGATGGGCGAGTGTTCATCAGCAAACTGAACTTCCTTTGGGAAGTGGCCGGTCTGTCTTGCTTCATGGGTGCCTGGCCATCCTGTCTGTGTCGTCACCTACTCAGCCCAGCCTTCCCACAGTGGTCCCTCATGTCCCTGCCGTGCCCACCTGTTCTGAATGGGAACACCCCACAGTCTACCGCCTGGGTTCTCACCTCTGCAGGGTCTGCAGCATGGACTCAGAGGCTGCCCTTCTCCTGGAGGCCACTCGGACCTTCCAGCTCCTCTAACTTATCACTGTGACAACTTATGGGGTTCCCACTGAACCTTGCCTCCCCTCCCCATCTCCCTGGCACGTTGATGCCCACACCCTTCAAGGCCACGTAGCCACTTATGGGGTAGGAGCTGTGTCTGCGGGTGGGAAGGGCACCATCTAGAATCAGAAGACTGGACTGACCCCAGGCCTGCCATCTCCCCTGCTAGAGCTTGGCTAAAAAGTCACCTAACCTGGTGGGCCTATATGTCCTTGTCTTTGAAGGGGAGTAGTGACAATGAGCTCAGAGTTGTCAGGACAAGTGAGATGGGAAGTGACATGCTCTTACAACTAGACAGTCTACCCAAATAGAGCATGTTGGATAAACTGTGGAATGGGCTTAGGTGATAACTGTGCCTGCTCTAGTCAGAGAGTGCACAGGGGTTCTCTGGAAGTCTCCAGAAAGCCACTGGAAATGCCCCTAGCCAACTGCACATTGTGATTACTCTGTGGTATCCTTCCTGACACTGGTGTTGGAAACTAGGCTGGCATTTCAGTGCCTTTTGCTCTGATGCCTTGTGTGCATTAGTAGGTCATATTAGAACCGTATTAGGCCAGGACGGTGGCTCATGTCTGTAGTCCCAGTGCTTTGGGGAGGCTGAAGTGGGAGGATCATGTGATCCCAGGAGTTTGAGACCAGGCTGGGCAGCATGGTAAGATCTCCATTTCTACGGAAAATTTTTAAAAATCCGCCAGTTGTGGTGTTGTGTGCCTGTATTCCCAGCTACTTAGGAGGCCAAGGCAGGAGGATCACTTGAGCCTAGGAGATCAAGGCTGCAATGAGCCATGATTATGCCGCTACAATCCAGCCTGGGTGACAGAGCAAGACCCTGTCTCTAAACAAAACAAGGCTGGGCTCAGTGGCTCAAGCCTGTACTTTGGGAGGCTGAGGTGAAAGGATTGCCTGAGCCTGTGGGTTTGAGACCAGCCTTCTCTTCTGATGCAACATATTCATCAGGAACACTCGCATAGTAGTCTGAAGTGGCAGTGTCTACAGTTAGTGATAAAACATGTGACTGCAAGTGTAAAAGGTTTTTCATTATTCAGCTGCTCATTCGGGCGTGTTAACATGTGCCTATAGTTCTAGCTACTTGGAAGGCTGAGGCGGAAGGATCGCCGGAGCCCAACAGGTTGATGCTGGGGTGGCCGCGAACATGCCAGTGCACTCCAGCCTAGGCGACAGAGTGAGACTCCAACTCAAAAACAAAGCAAAGCAAAACAAAAATCCATATTATGGCTAGGTCTCCATGGGTTCCGACTTGTTCAGTGGTGGCTGCCATTCTCCCAAGGCATGGGAGGGAGGGAAGTGTTGCAAGCAACTAGACTTGCGTTGCCAGCGTGTTGCCCCACTGGTGGCAACCTGAGCTTCCAGCCTTGCCAGCCACCTTTCCTGGGATGGGCTCTGTGCTCCTCCGTTTCCTGGGGGGCATCTCTACTGCATCCCTGCTGGAGCCCCTCCAGGCCTCCCACTGGACCGCTGCTCTCTCTCTCTTGCAGTGTGCCCCCTGCCACCAGAGCCAGAGAATGGGGGCTACATCTGCCACCCCCGGCCCTGCAGAGACCCCCTGACGGCGGGCAGTGTCATCGAGTACCTGTGTGCAGAGGGCTATGTACTGAAGGGCGACTACAAGTACTTGACGTGCAGAAGTGGCCAGTGGAAGCCGGCCATGGACATCAGCTGCCGGCTCAACGAGGGTCAGTCCGCGACGGGCTCTGCCTCCTCAGCCCTGGGTGCCCGAGTGCCCGTGGCCTCCCTCCCTTGGGATCCAAGTTTCTGTGGAGACTGGGGCTGCTGGTGCATGTCCTGCTGCCCAGCCAAGGTGCCTGCAAAGCCCTTTGACACCAGGGTCCCCGTGTGCCTGGCTGAGTGCATATGACCTCTGATTGTGGCCTGCTGGCACCTTCTCTAGTGTCCCTCATTGCATTTCTCCTTGAGTGGAAGTGGGCTATTCTGTTAGGGGCCCCATCTGGCTGAATGTTCAGAAGGCCTCCCACCCCTCCTGTCTTGTCTTGCATGAAGGAGAATCCAGCCACTTGGGAACATGTGTCATGGGGCCATCTTTGCGCTTCCTGTTCAGGCTTCAAGACCAGAACATGTTTAACCTGTGACACCCCAGGATGGGTGGGAACCAGCCTGAGAGTTAAGACCAAAGCTGTGGGATCTTAGGACAGGGCCTGTCACAGCCCCTCCTGCCCCTGGGGAAGAGCATGGTGGGACCTGAGACAGGAGTGGTATACCCATTTGGGGGTGGGGGTCAGTGTTTACTGACCTGCTGCTGAGGGTGGAGCAGAGTGACTTATGAAGGTAACCTTGCCAGGGCTCCCTGGGTTTAGGTGTCAGGTGGGCCTCAGAGGCCAGAGGTAAAAGGATTTTAAATGCAGGATGCAGGAGAGGGAACAGTCCCTTCCAGGGGCTCCACATGTCCACAGGCCATTCTGTGCTGCTGCACCTGAAATGACCAGGCAGGGGATGTTCCTGTATTGCACCATGCAGGGAACATCCGGCAGGATCAGTGGTCAGGTCTTGTTCTGTGTGTCAGGGTACAGAACCCTTCTGACAATGGCTTGTTCTTATAGACAAAGACACCCATGCATCCCTCGGGGCCCCCACACTGTCGATTGTGGCTTCTACTGCCAGCTCCGTGGCGCTCATCCTCCTCCTGGTGGTGCTGTTCGTGCTGCTGCAACCGAAGCTGAAGTCTTTCCATCACAGCAGGTGAGCTGGCATCAGCAGGGTGTCACCATAGGGCCTTGAGTGGTGGAGGGTGCTGGGGCCTCCCAGCCCTTGCTGGTCTGTGTGTGCCAGGGCGGGCCGGGCCTGCCATATGTCAAACTCTGGAGTGTCTGGCGTTGGACTTGTTGCTTACATACGTTTTCTTAGTCCTCATCGTAGCACCTCAGATGGGGGAACCGAGGCTTAGTTGTTCACTCAGGGTTGTACCTCTAGAGAACCGCAGAGCTGAGGTCAAAGCCTGGCTCTTCTTGACTCCACCACCAGGTCACTTCTATCCCATGCTCCTCCAGGTGTGTCCAGTAGCACCAGTTCCTGGACACACTGAGTAAACCTCCAGGCACCCCTTATGAATGCAACCACTGTCCTGTGTGGGTTACAGCCATGCTGCCCATGGAGATACCTGTGGGGAGGGAGACATAATGCCAGCATCTAGGCCCACCCCAGACTGTCTGGTGTGACTGGCGGGGAGCCTTAGCACGAGCATTTCATAAAAGAGCTTCTTGAGGTTCTCTGCAGTGGGGCTCGAGGACCCTTCCCTGAACAGCCAAGGAGCAGGAAGCGGGCACCTCCCGTGCTGCACTTACCTTCCCCAGGCACCACGGCTGTGCCAGTTAGGGGCCCTTTCTCGCAGGCCCTTTCCCCCTCAGGATTGTGTGGCTTGTGTTCATGCATCGCCTTTTACCGGTCTCACCATGCCTCACAGACACGGGCCCAGGCTCACGGCGAGGGAGAATGCGCGAGGCTTGGAATTACAGACCAGGGCGAGCTGGGTTTACCTCTGTGCACTGTGTGGCTTTTCTTACTTTCTTTTGTTTTTGGCAAGCGGGTAGCAGCTATTTTTTAAGGTTGTGAATAGAATAAAGATGATTTGAAGGAAATTGTATACTTGACACAATAAGCTATTTCCACATAAATTCCAACTGCTCTACTCTGCATCTTGTCTGAATTAGGGAGTTTTTCCCCCTATAGTTAACTTGTGAGTTTGTTCATAGTAACTGACTGGTTTTGCCTGACTTGCATAGAAGGGAGATTTGGTTTTCATTATTACCCCATTTACATCTTGTACAATATGACTTTTTAAACAAAAAACATGTATTTTGAATAGCGAAAGGCATGTGCCAGGGCACACACAGCTCTCTGAGCCACCTTGTGGGATTCCCTGCCCAGCAATGGTCCAGCAGCGACAGTATGGCCCCACCACAGGTTCTGTGTCCTTCCTGATGGGCTGGGCTGAAAGGACATGGCAGGACATGGCATCACCTATCATGGGCTTGGCAGGAGTTGGCCTGAGTCCCATCCTGGGGAAACAATTAGACACATCCAGGTTGTGGGACATTCTATGAGACAGGTGGCCTGCACCCTTCAAAAAGTCAATGTCATGGCAGAAGACTGACAGAGAAGTGTCACAAATTGGAGGTGAGATAGGATGTCTGAGTGCAGCCTGTGGTCCACAGTGGGGTCCTGGGTTGAAGCTGAGGCAGATGGATTTTTTAGAGTGTTAGGAAGGTTGGTGTTCTGGTTTTATACCAGTGTTGAGCTTCTGGGATGTGATCATGTGGTGGTTACATCAGAAAGGAGGTTCTTGGGAGGTGTGTGCTAGGGAATATGTTCACCTTAATTTAGATGGTTCAGGGGATAAAGGGGGATTTCTGTGTATAGCAAAAGTGAGCTGCCCAAAAAGTTGTCTGAATGACCAAATCTCACACACGTGATGTTGAATGAAAGAAGCCAAAGGAACACAGACCACACAACCACATTTTCCCTGTGGGTCCCATTCCTGTAAAGATGAAAAGTGTGTAAAGCTAAACTCTAGTGTTGAAGGATTCGTGTTTAGTGGTAAAACTATTATAATAAAAAGCAAATGCGTGGCTTCTGTGCACACCAGGGTAGGGGTTGCTCTTTGTGGTGAGGAAATAGGTGACTGGGACAGCTGCGAGGGGTCTAGAACTTGGGCAGTATTCTGTTTCTTGACCTAGGTAGGGACTTGATGCCAGTATTGCCTTTGGAATAAGACAATGAGCTGTATGTAGATTTTTTTCTGTGTGTTCTTTTCTGTATTTGTTTTATAATTCACATATAATTTTCTTAAAATTTACAAAGTTTTTAAAAAAAGCCAAGCAATGTGGCTGAGTCAGAAGAACACACAGTTCCTCTGAATACCAGCACCATAACCTGTGTTCAACCCTCTCCCTCCCTCTCTCCCAACAGTTCTGTAGTGCTGGAACTCACCAGCACCACAGAGTGCGGTGTACTCTCTAGTACATGCAGTGACGTGGTTCTAGTGTGTCCACAGATATGTGCCACAACCATGCACCTACTTACTCAGCTGTGCTGATGAGTGGCTTTGTTTCCAAGTCTCTAGGCCCCTAGTTCTTGCCAGGACCCGAGGGCTGGGTGACTGTGTACCCTGGGGTTAAGAACACAGTCTCTGGAGGCAGGTGGAACTGGAGTCAAATCCTGTGCCATCCTTCACCAGCTGTGTGACTTTGGGTAAGTTAATTAACTTCTCTGAGCCTCAGCTGCATTCCTGGTGATTACCTAGCCAAAAGGGCTCAGGTGGGATATGTGTGACAGAGTGTTTAAAGTGCTCAGCACGTCCGAAGTGCTCAGGAATGGCAGCTGCTGTGGGTGCCGTTATGAAGCTTATTTCTCCATATGCTTATTCTGATTCTTCCTCTGTCTTTTCCTCCCTCCACCCAGGCGTGACCAGGGGGTGTCCAGAGACCAGGTCTCCATCGTGGTGGATGGTGTCCAGGTTGCGCTGCCGTCCTACGAGGAGGCTGTGTATGGCAGTTCTGGCCACTGCGTGCCGCCCGCTGACCCCCGAGTGCAGATCGTGCTCTCCGAGGGCTCTGGGCCCGGCGACAGGAGTGGGCCACGGGAGCAGCAACCACAGGACCTGGGGGCCTGCTCCCCTGTGGGCGGAGAGGAGGAGGCCCCGGGCCAGTCGGGACTGTGCGAAGCCTGGGGCACACGGGGCTCGGAGACTGTGGTGGTGCACCAGGCGGCCTCCTCGTCCTGGGTGGCTGGCTCGGGGGGCAGCCGCCTGGCACACAAAGAAGCAGCAGACACAGAGAGCAGTGACATCCAGAGCCTTCTGTCCCTCACGTCGGAGGAGTACACGGATGGTGGGTGTCTGCACGGAACCAGAACTGTTTGCTGCCAGGGGTCCCAGCTGGGCGGGAAGGGGATCATGAGCCTCTGTGGTCATGCACGTATTTTTAGCAAACAAAGATGATACCTGGGTACATACCTGCAAAGTAGGATTTCGCCCTCAGAGTAGCAGGTCAGGGCTTGGGTCCTCTCGGGGAAGGTTCCACTGTTGCCTGGGAATTCTGATAGTTTGAAGTCTCTGAAACTGTTCCTGGCCACAGAGCTGGGTTAAATCAGGGTGGACAGCTTGGTGGAGGTGGGTGGAGCCTGTTCTCTTGTTATTATAAACTGTGTGTTCCTGAAAGGTTGGGAACAACAGTGAGGTGTGGGGTGGTGTTGCAGGGAGATAGGAGTATGCAGAGATCATGCTGGGTGGTTGTCTCAGGTCAGCCTCAGGGGACTGGAAATGTGGGTGCTACCAGCCCCGTTTTATAGGGGAGGAAGTGAGAGTGAGAGAAGGTGAGTCACGTGGCCTGTGGCAAGTGGCTGAGGTGGGTAGATCTGGCCCCAGAATCTGCATTTTAACTGCACAGCCCCATGTTGCCTTCTGGGGACTCATCTGCAGGATGAGAGCACTGCCCTGGCCTTGCTGCTGGGTTAGAGTCTGTCACTTAAAGAATACCTTGAATACCTTTCTGTGAAACCCGGTGCAGTTCAGGATGTGGACTCAACCTAGACGTCCTTTTTGCCGGCGAGGACCCAGGCACTCCGGAGCCCACTGAGGGCCTGAGAGGGAGGTCCTACATCTTGGGGTCCTGAGCCTGGCAGTGTCTCAAGAGTTGAGCAGCAGAGCTAGGAGCTGCTGAACACGGGACATGTCCAGCCTCGGCCTCTTCTCTCTTGGCTAGTAGAGAGCCAGGCAGGGGCCACCCATGGCCAACCAGGTTCAGGTGTGGGAGACAGAAATTCCTGGGCAGTCAGCCACACATTGCAAGGTGGCCAAGCTCGCCCCCCCCCACGTCCTCCCAAGGAACCCAGCCAGGCCTGCCCGTCCTCACTGTGCTTTTGTATTGAACTTGCATCCTGAGAGTCTATCCTGTGCCAGGTGCTGGGCAGGGTTTCAGGGGTGACACAGAAATAAGACACTCACTCTCTTCTGCCCAGGTGTCAGTCAGGAAGATGGGGTGAGGGATAACAGGCTTGAGGAGTTGTAGGCTCTGTCAAGACAGGGGTTAGAAAACAAGACACATTGGACAACACATTCATGGCAGACCCTGCCCAAGTTATCTGGGGCTGGTGATACCAGAGGCAGTGGGAGCACAAGGCCCCTTGACATAGGAGGAAACAGACCAGAGAGGGGAGCAATTTAACCTAGGTCACACAGCCGGCAGATGCTTTAGGAGGTGATGGGACTTCAGGGCTTTGTAGCCTTGCAGGATGGCCCTGAGGGGAGGTGACTAGACCAGCAAAGAAGGGAGGGAATAGGCTCCTGCTGGTGGCTTGGATTCCAGGCTAGTCACCAGACTTTGGTGCCCAGTGGGAGAATGAGCCAGAACGACCCAGGACAGAGGCAGGGAAGTGTATATGGATTGTGTTCTTTCTTTCATTGGGGGCTGCATTGGGCTTACAGTGGGATTGGGAGTGCAGTAGAGACCCCTTGGAGGTAACCCTGTGCTCCTTGCTGTCTCCTGCAGATATCCCCTTGCTGAAGGAAGCGTGAGACCTGCTAGGCTCTCCCCACTGTGAGACCCTCAGCCCACCTCTCTCTCCCCATGGATCTGAGCACCTGTTCTCTCCTGCCACCCTGCCTGGATACCTGAGCTGCCGCCTGCGTGTCTGTGTGTCTCTGAGGGTCTGTGGGCCCTCCTCGCTGGAAACTCAAGGAAGATTCTCACTGCCTGCTGGATGCTGGAGGAGTGGGCCTCTTGCCTGGCCCAGCTGTCCCATCTGTCGGAGACATGTTGGAATGTTCTGGACCTCCCTTTCCCTAGTCCCAGCACCCCTGGCCAGCTCCTGGGTGGCAGCCCCTGGCAGCCCACAGGAGGCTGAGTGCCACTGTGTTTACTTGTGCCTTGCCCCACACCTGCCCAGTCTCCCTTCATGCAGGCTTGTCATCCACAAGCCTTAGCAGCCACACCGCTGCCCCTATCACACAGGGCCAGGCTGAGTCTGGCCTGTGTCCTTTGAGGCTGTCACTGCTGCCCTTTGCAGGAGCAGACCCTAGAGTGTGAGAGCCTGTCAGAAGTGGCTCCAGCTGGGGCAGGTGTGGGCCCTGGGCGTGTTTCCTGTGGAGGGAGGATTTGGAAAGTCACACCAGAGCCATCCAGCACCCGCTGTCTGGCTCAGAGGTGCAGACTGCAGTCACTGGTGAGCTGAGTGTTCCCAAGGAGCACCTGGCAGATCCCAAGGGAAGAGGACCATGGCTGCGGGGAACTGTCTTCCTGACATGCAAGCTCTCACTTGCTGCATCCCACATCACCTTCTGGCCCTGTTTTCCCATTTCCTGAGTGTGAGGGGACGCCGCCTGGGCTCTGACCCACACGGCCCTGGCTTCCTCGCTACCCACAGGGCCAACAAGGGAGTGGTGGGGATGCCAGGGTACACCATCTGGTCCCTGGCAGTCTCTGGGGTCCACCTTCTAGGTTTGTGGTGAGGGAGGGAGGCCGAGAGGCGCAGACTGAGGCCCGCTGGCTGCAGGCAGCTCCAGCCCGGCCCCAGGTCCCCCTCACCACGTCATGTGCCTTAGGAACTGTGCCCAGGAAGGGGCCCACTGCCTGATGCTTCTTCTGCTCCTGCCCTGCCCACTGCCTGCATGTCATGGCTGACAGACAACTCCTCGTGTCCCAGCACCCCGGGGGAGGGGCTTGGCCCATGCCCCCAACCTTACTGGCCTGCAGTGGGTGGATGGGGCTCCCTTGGCCTGCCGGCCGTGGCTGAAGGCCAAAGGCCAAGCCCTGCGCCTACCAGGCTGCACCACCTCCAGAAGCTGCCTGCGGGTTCAGGAATGCTTGCTTTGCTTTTTGTTTTCTGAAGCGCTGGGCTGGGAACCTTTGCAGCTGGCCCTGTGCTGCCTACCTGCTCCTCCCTGAGCCTCTCCTTTTGGGGTGGTGGCAAGAATAAAAAGCCTGGCACACCCTCAGTTCCTGCCTGACAGAGCAGCTGGGAAGACAAGGGGCATGGCCTTCCAGCCCGCGGCCTCAGCCTCCTGCCTCTGCCCTCACACATGCACTTTACCACCATGGGTCCCTGCCTCCCGCCGTGTCTTCCTCCCTTCTTCCTCTCAGGGTAAGGGCAGTGCCTTCTGTGCCTGTCAGCCCCTCTCATGCATCCCCTCCCAGAGCCCTCAGTTGTCGTGCCCAGAGCCCAGGCCAGCACGGTTAAAAAATGGGTTGGAGAAGGTGCTAGAACTGGAAGGGAGATGGGACTAGCATGGCCACCTGGGAGGGCCCCCTGCCGGCCGGCCGCCTTAAGCACACTCCCATGGTGCCCGTGTCTTCCTCCAGAACGAGAAAGCAGGGATGGGGGCTGAAGCCCCACTGCTGACTGTCAGCTTTCGTTTCCCACTTCCCAACACCTGCTTCTATTCAAGGATATTTTTTTAATGAATGATCTTACCCTTTTCTATTTTGTTCTGAGTTTTCCCCCTAAGCCATTGCACTTTTTGTTTGGGGGTCACAAGGTTACCCAGGTGACCAGTGGGGCCCTTGGTGACATGAACGGCATCCTTCTCCCCAGCGCGGGACACATGCCTTCCCACCTGCTGGAGAGCAAGATGATGGGGCAGAACCCCTCCCACTCGTCATCGACTTGGACGAGGCCCCCGGCCCACAGTGCAGGGGCTCATGCCCCATTGCTAAAGGCCATGGCAGCCGCTTCCCAGTTACTCCCTTTTCCCAAAGCAGTTTCTTAACCTGGGCTTTGTCCCCTGCAGAGGGATTAGGAATTCCACAGCTGCCTTGAGGTGGGGCTTGACACAGAGACAAGGCCGTGGGCAGGAGGTGTTAGGAAAGGGCTGCCTGGCAGGTGGAGGAACCTGGTCCCACCCACCAGCGGCTTGCAGCTGAGCCTAGGCTGCCCGCAGGACTGGGCCTGGCGATACTAGCCCAAAGGACTTTTAAAAGGGTTTGGATTTTTGCACACGTGAGCTGACTGAATGCAGGTTTCATATCCTGGAGACTTGCAGTCACATTCTAGTGACCACCAAGAGCCAGAGCATGGTGAGCTCACTTGCCAGTTCCGTCCCTTCCTGCCCTGGATTGCAGGTAGGCGCCACCTTGCCATCTCCTTTCTGAGGGCCACAGACGCATCCTGTCTGAGTGCTGTGAGTCTGCTGGGCTGGAGGCGCTTCAGCCTGCTTTTCACAAGCACTCCATCTGCAGGCGCGTCTGCCCTGGCGTCCTCCCGCTTCTCCTGCCCTACTCCTCCCGCCCCAGCTTTATAGTTCTGGGCAGAAGCCAGTAGCACTTCAGACAAAGGGATACTCTTCCTGCTTCCTGGTGGTGGCATGAGCCGGATGGCATCCCCCTCTCCTGCCCGCTGAGCTCAGACCCCTCACTTCCCACATGGCCCCCTTGTGTAGAGAATGGAGATACCGATGCTGATGTTTCTAGGCCTTGCTTTTTCCCCCTTCCTCAAAGAGAAAAAGGGCCTATTGGGAAGTGGCACGTGGGCTCAGCCTGAGTCCAGATGTGCTTGCCAGGCTGATGAGGCAGGAGTCTCTGGGGGGGTTGCTGTGCCGGGGAAGGTCTCGGTGAGTCTTGCTTGGCAGATGTTTGGTCTGAGGGGTGCAATCCTGGCTCCCTGAGGGAGAGGTGGCTGACTCTGATCCCGGGTGGAACCCTGGTCAAGTTGCAAGAAAGCCCCAGGGAGACCGGAAGGCTGCAGGGTGGGGGGGTAGGGGGGCAGTCCGGCAGCCCCCTCTCCCAGGTGACTGCACCTTGTGAGCCCTTGCAGAATGGTACTCACAGGATGGTCTCAAGCAACACTTGTCAGCAACTCTGTGCAGGACGTCACTCAATCAGTTTGGGTTTGCTTTATTTTATTTCATATATATATTTTTTGGTATCCTGTACATTGCAGTGGGTGTGAAGATAGTATTTTAATATTTGTATAAAGTTTAATTTAATTTTAATTGTTCTATGTATATAACTGCATTTCTAAGTAATAATTAAAAAAAGTTCTTATGAAGGCCATTGTGGAAGATGTGCTCCTTCCAGAAAGCGTCTGGGAAAAAGCCCGAGGTTGGAAAGGGCAGGCTCCCACAAGCTGAGGCACTGGTTTTCTGGAGAGTGCCTGGTGGGGTGGAGAGGACCACTGGGAAGAGGGGAGATGTGAGGAGACGGCTGGGCCAGGAGGGGACTGCTGGGAGATGGGCAGTGGTGCAGGGAGGAAGGCCCACACACAGCCACCTCATTCCGCTGCTGTCTCTGCGCCAACCATGTGCACCCTCAGGGACTCAGCCGTGCAGAAGATACTGTGAACTGGACCCTGGGTCCACATGGCCTGTCCCAGGTGCCGGGGGAAGGCAGGCACCTGTGGGTGAAAAGGTGCTTCAGCTGAGGGGGCTGGTCCTGCCCAGCAAGTGCAGAGCAGTGGGAAGCATGTCCTGTTGAAGAAGAGACCAAAAGGGTGTCGCAGCCCTGCAGGGCGGGAGCAGACAGGAGCCCCCACCAGCGTAGTTGGGATCATCCTGGGGCAGTAGGAAGCCCCTGAACAACTTTAAGTAACGGGCAGGGTGGCCATGGTCTTGTCTACGTGAGAAACGATGGTGGTCTCTACAGGTGATGGTGGTGGGGCTAGGAGAAGCTGGTGGATTCAAGAGATGCTTATTAAGAAGTCAGAATCCACAGGGGCGGGTGGTGGCTGGATGTGGCGAAGAAAAAGGCATCAAGATTGCTAGCGTGGCTGGGCGCAGTGGCTCACACCTGCAATCCTGTTGCTGGGTAGGGTGGGATGTGGTGCCCGCTTCGCAGGTACTGTGGCCTGTCACAGAAAGGAATTTCAGAGCTGTCAGTATCATTTTATAACAGCTTATTAGGGAGAAAGAGAGGCATGCTCGAGAGGCATAGGCGTCTTGAAGGAAAGACCATGCGCTTGGCTTTGACAAGAAGCTTTATGTATCTTTACAGTGATTACTAAGCTAACCAATGAGCCAATGGTCACAAGTTTTTTTTTGTTTTGTTTTGTTTTTTGAGCTACAGTCTCACTCCATCACCCAGGCTGGAGTCCAGTGGCATGCATGCTCATGGCCACCCCAGCATCGACCCATTGGGCTCCGGCAATCCTGCCTCAGCCTTCCAAGTAGCCGGAACTACAGGTGTGCACTACCACACCCAGCTAATTTTTTTATTTTTTATTTTTAGAGACAAGGTCTCACCAAGTTGCCCAGGCTGGTCTTGAACCCACAGGCTCAGGTAATCCACTCGCCTTGGCCTCCCGAAGTGCTGGAATTACAGGCTGAGTCATCGAGCCTGGGGATCACAAGTTTTAATGAGTATCTCTCAGCTTTCTAAGGTCACAGGGACCTTCTAAATAATTAAAGTTGTTGCCTAACTAGATTTGGGCTTTTCTTAAGATATCACGTTTGTGTTTTGGGTAAGTTCTTATTGTTTCTGTGATTTACTGCACTGGTAAATCCACATTCCAGCCCACAAAGTGTTCAGGTCTGGTTGGTCAGGTGAAGTTCGTGTGCTGATAAGAAGATGTCTGAATGCTTACCCTGTTTTAGCTAATCTGCCTACAATAAACCTATCTATGTCCAAACCA